GGGTGGATGGATGGGTGGGTGGATGGAAAAAGAGAAGCCCAGCATGATGGCAATGCCTATAATCTCAGCACTCAGGAGGCTGAGGTAGGAGGTTCCCTGTGAATTTAAAGCCAGTGAGACCAGGTCTCAAACATTCAAAACAAACAAAATAACTGTAAAGGAAAAGGAAAAGCCAATGGATCAAAGTTTAAAGAAAAACAAAACTTTCTGAGAAAAAAGTTGGTCACCACAGGTAAGGTTATCATATTAGCCCTGCATTTTGGGGTCCCCTTCTCCTTCCCACACATTCTAAGCAGTGTGCTATCCTATCCTGCTCCATGCAGTTGGGGAGAGGCCACACACTGGCTTGGCACCACAGGACCCAGAATCAGCTTCCCCAGTTACCCAAGTGACACTGGGACAACCACCAAACTCCTGCTCTGTCCTTGCAGCTGAGTCTCTCCTGCACCCTTGGGTCAGGCTGAGTGCTTTTTTATTTGGTATCAGTTAAAAGCAAAGAGCCCTTTCCTGGTGGGTGACTCCAAGGTCACAGTGGATGTCCTCCCTGGCCCGGCTGCCAGCTGCCCATGTCCCCTGCTCTGCTCCCTGTTCACGGGCGAGTCCTCTGCACACTGCTTGTGTGTTCTTCACCTGAGCGAAATGTATTCAATGTGAAAAGAAAAAAAAAAAAAACAGCCAAAGATCAACCCAATCTGCTTCCTCTGCAAACCACTGTCCAGACACTCACCACGGCACCCTGTGTCAGAGGACTTTAGTTAGCTCTCAAATGTGTTTAAGACAAAAACAGGCTTATGCGGCACATATGAGTTTGTGTCCCACTTTTTGTATTTCATGAAATATCAATCAAATGTCTATCATTTATTTTTAATGGCTACTTGGTTTCTTCTATTTCTAAACTCTCAGGACCTCTGCAAAGCTGCTCTTTTCATTCTTCTCCTTCTCCACACGTCCCCATGACTAAAAGGCAGCAGCCTTCATTCAGTTAACGCATCCTCAACATGCAAGCAGCCCACGTGTCTGCTGTGTTCCATTCTTCTTAGCCACGATTACATTTGTCTTATATTTGTTAGATGACTGTGTCAAATACCTCCAGCTGGCCCACCAGCTTCCAAAGGAGGGCCAGAATACTGCCAATCCTGTGCCACCTATTCCCCACCCCTTCACATGTATTTCAAAAGAAAATAGCACCAAACAAGCCGGGCATGGCAGAATACGCCTGTAATCCCAGCACTTGGGGGGCTAAGGCAGGAGGATTGCTGTGAATTTGAGGCTAGCCTGGGATACACAGTGAGACCTTATCTCCAAAAAAACCCAGCAATACAAATAACTATAAGTGGCACAAAGAGGTCTGATTTTTTTTCCCCCCCAAGTACAATTTTTTTTTTTTGGTACCAGCGATTGAACTCGGGCCCTTGCACTTGTGAGGCAGGCAGCAGAACCATTGGGCCAAATCCCTAGCCCAGTACTACTTATTTTTTAAAGAATTCCTAACCAGGAAATATTTTCTTGAGCTGGGAATGTAGCTCAGCAGCACAGTGCCTGACTGGTAAGTTTTTTTTCTTTTAATGCTCCCTTGCTAATGCTCAAGCATGTGCCTAGAATTTTAAGGTGCATAATTTACATCCCCTGCTGTGGAAGGAATAGGCTTTGTCCTAAGGAGTAATATTTAAATTATAAAAATCCATATGGGATCAAAATCTCATCTTTGATTTAGAGACTGCAGCCAGGCACATCTTTAAAAAGCAATTTTATTTTTGGTGTTTGGAGATAGGATGGCACTAGTTCAAGCTGGCCTTGAACTTGCAGCAATCCTCCTGCCTCAGCCTCAGCCTCCTGAGTGCTGGTATTATAGGTGTAAGCCACCATGCTTGGCCTTTACTCCTCTTACCATGAATATACCATGTCAAACAATCATACAAGTGCTGGACACTGCTGTATTGAAAGCCTGGCTGATAATTTTCAGGTCAGCTGTTTGTTCTCACTTTCTGCAAAAACCAACTAAGAGTTTAATATTTACATTTTATACAATCTACCTATTCTAGTCTTAATTCAGTTTATGCCAGTGTGCTATAGAGTCGCAAGCATGCGTCAGTGTCACACACACTGAACAGCACTGGCCTTTAGGCAACCACAGTTCTCAAATGTGGTTTAGTTTGCTTTTGTGGTGGAGAGGAAGGGGTTGAGCCCAGGGCCTCATGTATGCTAAGCACCTGCTATACCACTGAGCTACACACCAGACCCATGAAACCACAGTGTTTTAAAAGGCAAAAAGAAAATGAAAGCTGCAACAGGAAGTAGTCCTAATACTGTTTTTAAATTCTAATATCTCATATTTAAATTTTTAAAAGACAGCTAAATACTTGTTTGTTTTGAAATATGAGAACCCAGGGGCTCTGCCCTGAACTATATCCTCAACACTTTAAATTTGTTTTATTTTAAGACAGGTTCTTGTTAAGTCACTAAATTGCTCAGGCTGGGTTTGAACCTGTGAACCTTGCCTCTGCCTCCCAGACGCATGCCATAAAATTATAGATGCATGCCACAAGACTCAGCTTAAATAACCATTTTATAATTTATAATAAAATAGGCTATATAGTTTGGGCCAGCCTAGAATGCACTATGTAGCCCAGGCTGGCCTCAAACAGTGATTCTCCTGCCTCAGCTTCCCAAGTGCTGGGATTACAGGTGTGCACCACCATACTTGGCTATTAAACCACACTGCAAGGTTTATTTTGGACTAAAGAACTAAGTCTATTCAACCAGAATACATGAAACATCAGAAAGATGGACTTAGCCGTGAGCGTGGGGTCATTTTGAAACTCTGCCTGTCTAGAAATACTACAGATTTCTCATTTTTCTGAGGGAAATTAAAATTGTTACAATATAATTATTATTATCGAAGGATGGCGAAAAGTGGCAGATAAAATAAAAAAATAGCAGTTGGGTTTCAGACTCTAGGGCCTTCTATTAACTTTGTTTTCTTTATAACAGATATTATAGTCTGTTTTCATTAAGTCCCAGTGAAATACATTAAATATAATGAAAAAAGTTTTATTTCCCTATTAAGTATTCCTTTGGCTCTATTAATTTCCTTACCATTAAATATGAAGTGTATCAAAAGCCACTCTCCAACTAAAAAGGAAAAAAATAAAACTCTGAAGGACTAGAGTCTAATCAGTAAATCCTCCAAAATATTTTCAGGAACCCAAAGGAAAGACCACCCGTTCTATCAGCACTATGCGAAAGCAGGAAGAACAGCCTTTATTTATGCACATTTATTGACTCTTTCTTTAAAAACCTAGGAGATAGGCATGCTCATTCCATTTACATTTTTGAGAACAGAGCCTCACAGAGGTTGCTATGCCCAAAGTTCATATAGGCATGAAAGACAGACACAGGACTGGAATTCTGAGAATACTTAGTGACAAGGAAGCACTACAGATCTTGAGACCCTTCCACCCCAGCTACGTGGCCCTGGTCCAAGGGCCATCTCTGGTTCATAGCCAAATTCTGCATGATCTTCTGGTGCTCAGTGAATGAACAAATCTTTTCTGAAGACGCAGAAACTTAACTGGGCCCTATGCTGCCTTGCCTGTTGGTGCCACATGACAGTGTGGAAGAAAGCACCCATGCCCACAGTGTTCTACTTCTGGTGCACTGCTGTACTTACTGACATGAAGTGCATCCTTTACAGTTCTACAGAGGCTTGGGTACAAAATTCTACATAGTTCACACTCAATGCTTGCCAAAATATGTTTGACAAATTGAAAGGAGGAATGATTACAATGATGGTGAGATGAACTTTAAAGAACAGGTCATACTGAGAAAAATGGCAGTAGGGGGAGACAGGAAACCAATCTAAGAAAGTCAATGGCAAGCAGGCAGAAAATTGAAGAGAGCACAGCCATGTCTGAGGAGAAGATTCAGGTGGCCAAGCAGTAGCGGTCACCCAGGGAGGCTCAGAATGCCTCTCAGAAGGATGCCTCCTCCTGGAAGCTCAGATTCTAAACTAGGCCAAGTGCTTCCTTTTCACACTTTTATTTTTGTTTTGGTTTGGTTTGGTTTTTTTGTTTGTTTGTTTGTTTTGTACCAGGGATCAAACTCTGGCCCTTGTGCTTGTGAGGCAGGAGGTGGAACCACTGAGTCAAATCCCTGGCCCTCACACATTTCTTTAGTCTGCGTTTGCTGTAGGTAAGGTCACTGCTAGAGTTGGCACAGGGCCATAACGCATCTTCATTCTTCTTACATCCCCTTCGCCTCCCCACTTTTAGGCTGGTTGTTTGTAAACATACTTACATTTACTTATTTATTTTTGGTACCAGGGATCAAATTCAGGACTTTGCACTTGTGAGACAGGTGTGGTTGACACTGAGCTAAATCCCTGGACCATAAACATTTATTTTTAATGCAGTGCAACACCTGGCTTAAACTAAACTCCACATGAAATCACAATAGATTTTTTTGCTTTTGCAAAAGCAAAGCAGCAGCCTTGAAGCATCCCGGTACTCAGCCCTGCCTTCCCCAACTTAAGAAGACTCTAAAACGCCTCCCCCAAGTTTAAAAAGTGCTGGGTGAAAGACAGGAAAAGATAGACACCCATGTGCTCCGTATGCTCATGGCTTTCACCAGGGGACCATGGGTTTGCTAGGTTGGAAGGACACATGTGGTGAGGCTCTTCAGACTGGCTGCTTGTTGTAATGCAGTGTTTCCCCACAGCAGCACACTGCAATTACGCTGCAATGAAAATGAACAGCCTTGTGCATAATACTTTCCCATATTTAGAATCACTTCCTGAGGATAAATTTACACAAGTTAAGAGTTTCAATTTAGTTCTATAGCACACTGCTTCAACAAGGGCTCTATGAACATAAAAATACATAATTCAATGAGTATATTTTAAAAGCCATCTCTGTCTCAGCAAAATTTGATTCTGGAATCCTACTTTCAGATACATACACATGCAAACTTACTTACAAAACAGATGAGCAAAATTTGGACATCTCAAAAATAAGAAATTTGCATGAGAAACAAAATCTCTCAGCCTTTCATGAATTTTCATAACTTCTCTTGCACTTATCAGAACAAACACTGAAAGAAGTTTCCCCTCACAGTCACAGTGGAATCCTGTGGAATCCTATGAAATCACGGCACTGTGACAGCACAAACCTTCTCTGGAAGCAATCTGACATCACTAACTCTTTTGTAAGTTTTCCGGGGACACAGGCATTCTATTTTCACTTCTTCTATACGCAAAGTCCATTTTCTGTTGACTCCCTCAACTGATATAATCTAATTTACGCCCTTCATCCCCCAAATCTTTCTAAACCCACCTTCCATGAAAACGCCCTGTTCAAACAATCTAAACACTGGCTCCTGGGAGCAATCTGCACCACTTCCCTGTCCTTTTTGGGAGGAGAAACCCCAAAACTACAAAGCCTTTGTTGTTGTTTTTTCTTATCCTTACTGGTTAATAGAAGACTAGAATATGCTTTGTTATATTACCTTTTAAATAAGTGAATATTGCTGAACAGGTGTGGTGGTGGGAGCCCTGTGGAAGCTGAGGTAGGAGGATGGCAACTTCAAGCCCACCCTGGCAACTTAGCGACTCAGGGAGGCCCTGTCTCAAAATTAAGTAAGTAATGTAGTTCTATCACTAACATGACTTCAATGAGGGGAAAAAAGAAATCTAAGAAAACCTTTGTCTTTGTCCAAAGCAAGCACAAGAGCAAAGCCACTTCTACTATGTAACATTTTCAATATTAAAGGCATAGAGTCGGATTCTCATTGGCTATAGCTCACTACCAGGCACTATGCTGGCCTCTCATTTCCTCTAAGTCCAAACTCTTTAACAAAGTTAACTAAATCCTTCAGCAAAAACCCCACCTATGGTCATAATTTAGGAAGTATTTATGTGACATGTTCTTGCTTTCTATTTATTTTTTGTACATGATGGTCAACCAACCCACTAAATTGATTTCATGATCTACTAGTAGGTAAAGTATGAGAAATATCAGTTCAGTGTACCACACTCTTACTTCTTGGTCTTTGTATCTTTTTTTTGTTTTTGTTTTTGTTTGTTTTGTCTGAAACCATCTTGCTTGACCTCACTTAGTTACTTTTTATTCTACCTACAATTTCAGCTCTTAAACATCACTTCCCTGGCCCCCCTAGATTAGTCGTTGTGGTGCAAATCTGTAATTCAAAGACTCTGGGAGGTTGAAGCAGGAATATCACAAGTTTAAGACCAGTGTGGGCAATTTAGCAAGACCCTGTCTCAAAATAAAAAGTGGGTTGGGGATGTAGCTCAGTGAGAAGGCCCTAGGTTAAATTCCCAGTACTACACACACAGACAGACAGACAGACAGACACACACACACACACACACACACACACACATTCATTCTCCTTCCTCTGTGATCCCAAAGTCCTCTATACTTTATTAAGTCTCTCTTGGCTAAAAAACCCCTGAATTAAGGACTCAATGCTGCTAATCACTGGACCTATCCTAGAGCCTAACCCAGTGCCTATTACATACTAGACACTCAAAAAATATTTGAGAGGCTAGGTTTGATATTACACACATGTAATCCCAGCACTAGGGAGGCTGAGGCAGGAGGATCACTAATGAGTTCAAGGTCAGGCTGAACTAAATAGTGAGACCCTGTCTCAAAAAAACAAATAAATAAATGAGTAAAATAAGGAAGTGGAGTTGAATACTCTATGTATTAAACCACATTATGGGTTTGTTTGTTTTATTTATTTATTTTTTTGCTTTGTTTTTCTTTTTTTTGGTACCGGGGATTGAACTCAGGTCGTTGCACTTGCAAGGCAGGCCACCGAACCGCTGAGCTAAATCCCCGGCCCTTAAACCACATTATGAAGAGATCACCCACTTAAAAGTTGCTTAACAGGCCGAGTTATTTCCAAGGAAAATATACAAACAGTCACAGTTTATGAATGGTGATTCGGCTCCCAGGCTCGTTGTGCACACCACACTCGATGACAGCGTGGCTGTCAGTGCCTTCTTCCCAGGCAACAGAACCTACCCACCAGTAGTGGGAGCCAGCAGGGTGAGAGGAGCGCTTCTCTGTCTGCAGGCCTCATCGACTCGCAGACAGGACAAAGGTGGATGCTCCACTGCACACTCTCACTAGCTCTCTTTTCAGGGCGCCCACTACCCTTCGGGGAGCGAAAGTTTCTCTTCCCAGGTAAGTAGGCTCCTGGGGACAGGACTTCCCTCCTGCAAAGGAGATTTTAACAAGGTCTAGCCAGAAAATGAAAAGTATTATTTAGCAGTATTTTAAACCCTTTTGGATTTCCTGAATCTGATCTCAACTTTTATTTTTGTTGTGTTTTGTTCTGCAGTGCTGAAGGTCAAACCCAAGGCACCTGGCCCTGCACACTGGGTGAGCGCTATAAACACTGAGCTTCCCCAGTCCTGACTGCAATTTAAGTAGGATGTGGAGAAACAGTGCAATTAGCACCCTGAGGTGTCACCGTGGCCAGCAGGAATCCCAGGCTGATTTCTAGGCCCTTGAAGAAGAGTTAGCAAGGGAGAAAAGGCCAGGCAAAAGGAAGAGGAACTGAAAAAATGACAGGTTTCTCTGTTTCTTGGTCAAATGTCTACATTAATTGAAATTTTCTTCTTTTTGGAGACAGGGTCTCACTATGTAGTTGAGGCCAGTCTTCAACTCACTGCGTAACCCAGGCTGGCCTCAATCACACGGAAATCCTCCTGCCTCAGCCTCATGAGTACTAGGATTAAAGGCACTTGGGTAAAATTCCATTTTAGTCTCCCATCCAAGTACTAACCAGGCCTGATCCTGCTTAGTTTCTGAGATTAGGAGCATTCAGGATGGTATGGCTGTAGATAAATCCATTTTAGTAAAGAAGTCAGTTTGGACAAAACGCAGAGTTGGTTATCTGATCAGGCCCCTCATCCTCTGCCATCTCCCAGGTGATGTCTGAGGACCTTGGCCTGTCTTCAACAAGAATCCGGTTAGGTTGGTTTTGCCCGGCTGCCAGCCCTTAACCCTGCCCAAAGTCTCCTCTTAGTGTTTCTCTATCCACTGATGTTCACCCTGCCTTTAGCTCTATGTCTCTGCTTTCCCATGGTATATTTATTTAGGGTCGAGCCCTGTCTTTTGAAGCAATTTTTGCTGCAAAAGACTTTGTGCAGAACTGTGTGCACCCAGAAATTAACAGTGCAATACCCACAGCAGCATCCTGAATGGCAATTAACTTCGGGGCCATCAGAAAGTATTTATTTTCCACCCATATATGAACAAAACTGCAATGAAAGCTACATAGGTGAGGAAAATAAGGCCCTCCATTCTGCTGAGAAGCATATGAAGCTTTCAGTGAGTAACTTGTGCTTGCCATTTACTCCTTGTTTGTGTAGCGAGCCAACCATATGTAGTATTTGTCTGTAAGGTGGTAACCAGAACTTCTCACACCAAGCTCTCTTGGCTCTAGTGAGGACAGAATTTTCTGTGCCTTGCCTCAATATGCCAGGAAATGGGAGGGGGCCTTAAGATGCTGAAAATTAGTAGGAGAAGTCTTACACTTAACAAGCACTTATTCAACCTTTATCCAAGCACCTGGATAAGCATTACAGGTGTTGGTATCATGTTGATTGATTTCTTCATCAGTGCCAATCCCCAGGCCTACAGGTTTGTTATTTTCTATAAAAGGACAATACAATTAATGATAAAAAGTCAGGTAAGCCAATGAAAATATGGACAAATGATCTAAAAGGACATTAAAAAATACACAAACAACCGTGCTTATATGAAAAGATGCTCACTATCGCTAGCCTTTCGGGAAACACAAATCAAAACCACAAAGAGATACCACTTCACATCCACGAAGTAGATGTTTTATCATGGCCAAAATAGCCAGATAAAATAACAAAGGTTGGTGAGCAGGTGAAGGAAACTGGAATCGTGCTTCCACTGCTCGGTGGTAAACAGTGCTGCTGCTGTGGTAAAGGCTGGCAGTTTCTGAAAAAGTGAAACACTGGGCAACTGCACTCCAACTGAAAACATGTCCGTGAGGCTGCGGATGTAACTCTGTGGTGGAGCGCTTGTCTAGGGTGTCAGAGGCCCGAATAAAACCAAAATACCTATATCTCTACTTCTGTATCTGTGCATCTCTTGCTGTATCTCTCTGTATCTTCATCTCTCCGTGCAGCTGGGGATGAAGCTCAGTGGTACATCCCTAGTTTACATGCTACAGGCCCTAGTTCCCTCCCCTGCACTGCAACTAAAACCAAAACACGTGCCCAAGCGACCCCAGCAGCATTACACTCAACAGCTAAAAGGGGAAACAACCCAGCTGCTGAAGAACACATGAACCAAATGTGGAACTGAGATACACGGAACCTCACTTGGCTGTGTGAAATTAAAGCACCGACGCGCACTTGGACAAGAACGAAGCCGGGAAGATGCACCAGGAAAGAAGGCCGTTTACAGCGAAGTTCCACAGGGAAGCGGGCGCGGAAACACGCGTGGGGTCGGGCTTGGGGGATGACGGCGGCGACGGTCCACCGTACGCGGCTTCTTTGGGTGATGACGACAATGTCCTGGGGGGCGGTGACAGGCACAAACTTCGCGATTTCACCCAAAGCCACAGTTAGGGCCGAGTCTTGCGTGAGCTGTGCCTGAATTTTGAGGCGTATTCACTTACCAGGGGGAGACATGCGTGGAACACGGTCTGCGCGCAGGATACGTGTCACGCACACAGACGTGTCACCTCTTCCCTGATGCCCGGGGGCTCCTTGGGACGCGACCCGGCCACAGCGGCCGGCCGGCGCCTCTCAGCCCGCGCGC